TTAAAGATATATGTATCTCAAAATATAAAACTATGTTTCTACAAACCCAATTCCAAAGAGTTGGGACAGTGTGTAAAATCTGAGTAGAAACAGAATGGAATATTTTTCAGATAAACCCATATTTTCCTGATGTGCTGATGTTAAATTAGACTTACAATGAAATCTGTATGAAGTCAGTATTCCATATGCGTTTCTCTAGATCTTTAATGTAGTATGTTAAAGGGTTGCTTCCCTACATATATAACAAAACTGCAAATCCAGTCATCTGAAAAGAGAGTTTTTAGAGGACTCTTGTGTAGTCTCTGTGCAGTCCTGTGAAAAAAAATAACTTGCTTTGGCAACAATTCCCCAGATTGATGCTGAGGGAAATATAGGTACACTCAAAAAAATGAAACTGGGTGGTTGTTACATTAACAAGATTCAAACTTGTAATTTGAACAAAATAATTTCATGTTTCTATGGTTAATGATTAAATCATGCAGGGTTTGCATGAAATTCAGCAACTTAATTTATTCTTGTTGAGATGACATAATACAATCTAGTTAGAGTGGTTAGTTGACTGAACTAACAAAATTCACAAGATCATACACGATTTCAAACCACAGGAAAACCACTGGGGTAATAAGAGGCAGACAATCATACACACACCACATATGTGCTGTTGCTATTTATTGTGGTTTAACCTGTCGAGGACAAAAATGTACAGAAAATTCTGTATCAAGCCTTGTAATCATAACCTTCCTACTTTTTTTAAGTCTCACTTGACAGCTTGGTGGCGCAGTGATTAACACTGTTGCCTCACACAGCAAGAAGGTCCTGGGTTCAAAACCACTATCTGGTCAAGTTTGCAGTGGGTTCTGCCTGGGTACTCTGGTTTCCTCCCACAGTTGAAACTCATGCAGTTATTAGGGTCACATTAACTGGTGCTTCTTGTGTAAATGGTTGTCTGTCTCTATGTGATAGTGCAGTTGATTAACAGCGCTTGCTATTTACCCTCCTCAGTGTTACTGAAACATGGGGTGTAGCTTTTCACAGGACTGCCCGTGAAAAACTCTATTTTTACATGATTGCATTACTGTTATCTCTTTAATGGCACAACATTAACCAGCAGCTCTTGTGATCAGTGTTGGGAAGGTTACTTTTAAAATGTATTCCACTACAGATTACAGAATACATGCCCCAAAATGTATTTTGTAACATTTTCCGTTACGTTAGTCAATGAGAGTAACGTATTCTGAATACTTTGGATTACTTAATATATTATCAAGCGTTTTACAACTACATGAATGTCCTATTGCTGTGTGATTTATTACTATTACTGAAGGTTATTTGCCATACAAACACCTAATTTTAAAAAATATTTCTTTCACATCATTATGCGGGCTGCATGTAGAGGTGACATGGGCTGCGAGATTGAGTCGCAGGCATTAGAGCCTCTTAATGCGTGTTTTGTTTGGGTTTCCACCGGCGTGGAGTTACCAACAAGAGAGAGGGGACAGCCTAACATATGAAACACGAAAAGACTGCCATGTAAGCCCTTTATTTCAACAAAGTAACTGTATTTGGAATACCACATTTTTAAACGGTAACTGTAACAGAATACTGTTATTCATATTTTGTATTTTAAATACGTAACAGCGGGTCATGTATTCCGTTACTCCCCAACACTGCTTGTGATTTACATAACAGAAGCTAATGAATCTCTGTGTGTTTGTCTTGGTGTTTCAGGTTCGGCCGCAAACGAGCAACTCAGATTCCAGCAGTTCTGTTGTCTGTATTCACCGCGACAACAGCTCTCTGTCCCAACGTCTACTTATATATAGTATCTCTGTTTCTGGTGGGATTTGGAGCTGGAGGATATCGAGTCAACAGCATCATACTGTGTATGAAGAGTACACCAACTTTTTAGATCTTCTGGACAAGGCTACAACTAACTAGTTTTCATTGTAAAATAATCTGCCAGTTGTTCTTTCAATGGCTAAGATGATGTTCTTATAATGTTTTACAGGTCCAACAAGGCTGTACTGATCTGATATTTTCCATTCAAACCTTCTACTTCCCACCTCTTCCCATTTTATTGTTACTTTTATCTTACTGTTGCCTTTGTGACCGTTTTACATATTTACATTTACATAAGAGACAAAAGATAATCAGTTTCTAAACATAAAGATGTTGGACAAAGGACAAAGACACATTTATGTAACTTTGTGTCCATCTTTCGACAGTGAGTTTTGTCTTCAACTAAACACATACTTGAGAAACTCTTGGGTTGTTGTTGGTTGGTTTGGGTCATTATCCATTCACACTGAGATGTTCTGTCTGATTAGGTATAAAATAGTAATAGAAAAATATATGTACAGTCAGCCGAGATATTCATAGCAGCTGATGTGCAATGTTTTTACTTATTTTTGTTGTTATGTATTTATTTTGTTCCATCTGAGCTGAGGTCTTAATCTAAAATAAACAAACAATTAACATATTTCCTTATTGCAGCCACTGAATGGATTGGGATGTCCAAAAGATCATGGGGAGCTTGTGTGACTCAGCTGTTTAGTGCAATTGGAGAGTGCGTCCTCGCTGGTGTGATCTATGGCATCCGAAACTGGAGACTGGCTCAGCTGATCACAGCAGTTCCGCTTGCAGTGCTTATTATCTACATATGGTGTGAATTTCACTCTATTTATTGAGCCATTTATAAATTTAAAAATGTCTGTTTGTTTGAAGTGCCATTTTCTTCCTATCAGGTTTATTCCAGAGTCAGCCAGGTGGCTGTTAAGCAGAGGCAGAAAAGAAGAAGCCAAACAGCTCATTGTCAAAGCAGCAGCCATTAACAAACACCCTGTGTCAGAGTCTCTTCTGGACAAGGTAGTGAATCACATTCAACAGGGGAGAAGTTTTCAAGAACATCAATGGCACCTGTAAAATAGCTGTTTATTTGTTATGTTTACTATTCAACATATTCATGACAAGAGATGTATCTATGTATTAGCCCTGCAATAGAATGGGGACCTGCTCAGGGTGTCTCTCATTGTATGTAATGTCAACCCTGAACTGGAACTGGAAAAAACTAGACTGATGGATTCATTTCACGTCATTTTTCTTAATTTGCTATGATGGTGTTACAGCAAGCGTGACTTCTCCCACAGATTGAAGTGAATAACACTGTGAATAACGGAGGAATAAAAATCCTCTTCAGATCATCACTGCTGACCAGATATTTCTTTATTATAATACTATCATGGTAAGTTCAACATCTATAGTGAGGTTAATACATTAAAGGGAAATATGTTAATACAAAAACATGTTGCTGTTTTTAAATGCTAAGATTGGCAATTAGATGTTTTGATGATTAAATGGCCATTCATAAATGTGTTATAAATGGTTCATGATACGGGACTTTTGTGTCTGATTAAATGTGTTTCTCTTCTCTTTTAAAGGTTTTCCGTGAACCTTTCCATCTACAGTTTGTACTTAGACATGCAAAACTTTGGTTTGAGCATCTTTGTAACCCAACTGCTTTATGGTGTTTTTGAAGTACCATCTGTTTTACTCTCCATGTGGCTGCTGGAGATTTTGGGGAGGAAAATATTATTCATAGCAACCCTTCTGATCGGAGGAGTCTCTTCCATACTTATCCTCGCTGTTCCTGATGGTAAAAGCTTTGTTATATCGCAAAATACATTTTTAATTGTCTGCTTATCATGTTTATGTTCACTTTTATTAATTATTTATTTCCTTTATGTCAGGTTACGCCATTGCTGTCACATCTTTAGCTGTTGCGTCTCGTTTTTTCTTGATATGGTCTGGCTCTGTTTGTATGGTCTTTATGCAGGAGTTGTTTCCAACATCAGTTAGGTAAGCAGTCACAGTTTTTATTCATGTTTGTGTACAATACCCTGACTTGTGTGAAAAGAACACACGGGGGATATTAGTGAGTATACCATTTGTCCTCCTGTTTCAGACAAACAGCCACAGCTTTAGGATCCATATCAGGAAGATTAGGTGGATTACTGGCTCCACTGCTGAACTTGTTGGCCACGTACCACTCGGTCATACCCATCACAGTCTTCAGCTGCCTTACGTTGATAGGTGGATTTCTCGGCTTCTTGCTTCCCGAAACCAAAAGAAAAGAGCTTCCTGAGACGACTGAAGAGGCTGAGCGCAATGGGTATCAGTGTTTAACTACTGCAGCATCTCAAACATGTTATTTTGTCAGTGATCGTTTTTTTCATCTGTTTCTGTTTTATATCTTTCAGACAAGTTAGTCCCACAAGAAGAACAACTACCAGTCTACATTCGTATTCAACCAAGATGTAGATGTTTTTGTACGGATTTCATCTTTACAAATATGTGATGTATTTAAATTAACCACAACCTCAGTCATCATGTACTATAGACGTCCCTGGTTCTGGACTCGGGGTCTGAAGATACATCTGAGGAGACCGCAGTCTTAATAAGTCATCATTTTGTTAACACTTTGGTTTTCAGTGTAACTTTGGCTAACTTTCTGCAGTACAAAGAACCAACTGTAATAACAAGTGATTAAATAAACACTGTCCTGTTGAGTCTGCATGTGTTAGTCTGTCATATTTCATGTCTGTGTTTCCTATGTTATCATGCTTGCGTCATGTCTGTGTCCTGTTATGTTTCCTGTTTTATTTTGAAGGGGTCTCGTGTTCTATGTTCATTGTTTTTGTTTCATTTTCCCTGTGGTGTCATGATGTTCATTTGTGTCAGCTGTGTCCACATGTGTTTCCACTTTCCCCGATCACCTCATGTGTGTATTTAGTCTACGTATTGTCATTCAGTCTTTGTCAGGATGTCTGTTTTCCTCATCTTGTCGTGTGCCCTGCGTTCCATAGTATCACTGTATCATACTAATCATAGTTGTTCCACAGTCGCTTCTTTGCTTGTTAGTTATTTAGTTTTCCCAGTCTAGGTTTTAGTTTAGTTTGTCACCCAGTTCACTTTGCTTTATGTTGTATTCATGTTTTTCAGCCTAAATAAAACGGCACGCCTTTTGTAAACCCCAGTTTTTCCTCCGTCTGTGTCCCAACTTGGGTCCACCTCTCACACCCCCCACGTGGCATAGTGATTTCTATAATTTCTTTAATAGTTTTAGTTTTTAATTTATCAACAATTTATTCAACACTTCATCACACCTGAATATAAAATTAACCTTAAGATACGGCTTTTTCACAATGACACCAAAAATAACATCAAATCTTAATCCAAACCATGATCTCTTCATAAATGTCACCAAGTAGTCTGCGTACATAATAATGCTCACCATTAGAAACTTTTTGGGGGTGATTATTTTAGTTTGGCACAACTGGGATCATTTTTGTATTGTCTTTCATGCTACATTAAAGTTAGTTTTATCTACTTACTCATAAAAATACCTTTGGTAACAATAATTTACTCATAATGCAGAAACATGTTGTGCAGGAACTGGATACAAAAAGGCTGGACAGGCAAAATCTGAAAACAGTTTTTCGTCTAGTCTTTGCTCATGAACAGTTGAAAAGGTTTTAAGTACACTGAATGTATTATGATGTTGGATATGACCAGGTTTGTACAATGTGTATCTCATAAAACCAGTAAGGACTTCAAGTCAGCGTATATTTTACATACTTTCAAACCTTATGAGGCACAACTTGCTAGTACCAGGTTGGACCTCATTTTGCTTTCAGAAGAGTTTTAATTCATTAATTCATGCATTGATTCAACAAAGTGCTGGAAACATTTCTGTGAGATACTGGTCCACTGAAGTGATCTGTGTTTTGCAACACGCCACATCATCCTGCTGGAGGCAACCATTAGAAACTGGGTGCAATATGGTCATAAAGGGATGGCCACAGTCAGCAATAAAACTCAAGTAGGCTATGGTGTTTAAATGATGCCCAGGTGGTACAAAGGGCCAAGTGTGCTGACAAATTATCTCCCGCACATTTTACCACCATCACCAACCTAAACTGTTGACACAAATAGGATGGATCCATGCCTTCATGTTGTTTACATCCAATTCTGACCCTACCATCTGAATGTCACTGCAAATCAAGACTAATCAGACCAAGCAACATTTTTTAAATCTCTTTCTGATTAAACTGTAGTGACATCTGGCGTGGTCTTCAGCTGCTGTGGCAAATCTGTGTCAAAGTATGACATGTTATGCATTCAAAGACACTCTTCTGCATACTTTGGTTGTGATCATTTGATTTTTTTTCTGGCCTTCCTCTCTGGCCATTCTCCTCTGATCTCTGATATTAACGCAGCAATTCCTGTAACAGGGTATTTCCCCTTCTTTTTAACATCTTCTGCAAATCCTACAGATGTGCTATGTGGG